AGCTTGATGGCCCGAATAAAAAGTTACAGCAACTAATAGAAATACCTCCATTGCCCCATCATTTCAGGCTGAATTATGGGAAATGGTCTCAAGCAATTTTTTGTCTTAATGAAGGAGGGGGGAAAGGGGGCACAAAATTTCCAGAATTAACCTTTTTTTTCACCTTAACATTTGGGAAATGTCTTTCTCTTTACACAACATAAATGGGATTCTTCCTCTGGGGTCAGCTGATCTCTTTATCATGAATAACCAGTTGTCTGAAATTTAAGTATAGATAGTAGCTTAAATGGAAATCACTTATTATGCATCTATTCATTCGCACTCAAAATATCTCATGTAGCTAGCCAGTTGTTAAAAGTCTATGATCTGCCCACCCCTTCATCCATTCCTTGACTTTTCACGCCTTCCATGGGGTCATACTGTGTGGGTGCCCTTATTATTGGTCGTAGGCACTCAGTGAAGGAGGGGCCTCCGAGTGCCCCTCTCCAAGCTGGGTTCTTTACAGCTGTGAATCATATTGCAGATGAAAAGCAACTCCTAAAACTAATTTAGAATCTTGGCTGAAAACTTAACTTATAGGACTACATTAAGATAATTCCATGGGCCGAAACTGGTTTGGCTCAATGGATAGAGCATCAGCCTGCGGACTGAAGGGTCCCGGGTTCAATTCCAGTCCAGGGCATGTACCTTGGTTGCAGGCACATCCCCAGTGGGGGGCGTGCAAGAGGCAGCTGATTGATGACTCTCTCTCATCGATGTTTCTAACTCTCTATCTCTCTCCCTTCCTCTCTGTAAAAAATCAATAAAATACTTTTTTTTTTTTTAAAGTTAATTCCATGGGGGGTGGAGGGGGATGGTAAGATTTGTACACATATAATACCTTACTAAAAAACGAGGGGGGAAAAGATAATTCCTAAAACTATTGCAATTCACAAAATGTGTCTTATTTCCAGAAGAAGAAGAAAAAAATGCTGGGAATGTTTAGAAACATTTCCCCCTTAGGAACATAAATTTTTGTTGGGTCATGAGGCTTTTATCAATAAATATTTACCTGAAAATTGTAAGTAGTGGGTAAGGACTGCCAATTGCAGTAAGAACAATGGTGGGTATTGTGACGCTGCACTTGTGGGCACTTCTGTTCTGTGGCTACTTAACGTCCTGTGTACGTGCTAGTGACTGTCCGCTCCTCATTGACAGGGAGAGGGTAACTTCCTGCGTGAACAGGAGTCAGGGACCCTGAAGACAAGCGCCCTGTGACGGATGGCTGCATGGCCTCATTCTCTGCGTCCCCGGCCGTGCTGGCCTGAACAGCCCCCCTTTAAGAACTACTTCTGCTCGTGGGCGGGTCTCCAAGCTCTGTCTCTACAGGACATTCAACTGGAAGGTTTGAGTGAAGGTTTTCCTGTTGGTTCGTCTTTTACTGAATATCTCCGTGTTTGAAGGGATTTGACTTTTTCAGTGTATTTTAATTACATTTAAATAGAAAACGTCCAATTTCTTAGGGCGAGGTGGGCAAGTTTAATCTTTGGGTGCTGTTGTTTTTAACGTTTTCTTTACCCTACCTTGTAAAGAAAACCTCAGTTATGCAATCTTTTTAGCTTGAAGTTGTGTTTTTGGAAAGCATCTGAAAGTAAAAATGTACAGAAGCTCAGTTCAGAAGGGAGCTTAAAGATCAACTGGTGCCTCCTCGGGACCTTAGCTAATGTGTGGCCTGGAACAGACGGGCTAGAGGTGGAGGCAGAGCTTGGGAGAAAGCAGGGTGGAGGCGGGTGGTGGCGGCGGCTGAGCCCTGCATCCTACACTCAACCCCCCTCCCGCGCCCCCACCCGCTACTGCTTCTTCTGTGGCCCCTCTGGGAACCCGCAGGTGCCTATGCAAACCACTGACTAGTTCAGCCCCTCTTCTGGTGCCTGTTACTCTTTGTGTTGTGCCTGTTTATTTATTTTTAAATTTCTTTATTGATTAAGGTATCACATATTTGTCCTCAACCCCCCAATCCAATCCCCCACCCTTCCCCACTCATGCCCCCACCACCCCACTGTCCTTGACCACTGGTTAGGCTCATATGTATGCACACAAGTCCTTTGGTTGATCTCTCCCTTTTATCCCCACCCTCCCTCTGAGGTCCAACAGTCTGACCCATGGCTCCTTATCTCTGGGTCTGTTCTTGTTCATCGGTCTATGTTGTTCACCATTTCCCCGAGATGAGTCAGATCATGTCCTACTGGCAATATACTTACAAGAACCGAAAATGAGACAAGCAATAATGGTTATGCTGAAAGGCATATGAATCAGTCTGTTGTAAGTTTCTTTCTGGCCAAGGGTTACCATCTTTTAAAGATGAACTCTCTTTCTTGACCCGAGTCCATGATGCTGTTTCAAAATGCAAGCACTGTGGGAAATCCACACTACTTTTTAAATCTCTGGGCTCAAATTCTGAATGACAACCGAACTGGTTTGTAGCAGTGGTTTCAGCTACCTATATTTTAAAGCTGAATTTAAATTATAAGTACAAACATACTAAATGAAAAATATGTATAAAATATATTTTATAGCCGAAACAGGTTTGGCTCAATGGATAGAGTGTCGACTTGCAGACTGAAAGGTCCTGGGTTCGATTCCGGTCAAGGGCATATACCTTGGTTGCGGGCACATCCTCAGTGGGAGGTGTGCAAGAGGCAGCTAATCGATGATTCTCTGTCATCCGTGTTTCTAACTATCCCTCTTTCTTCCTCTCTGTAAAAAATCAATAAAATATATATTAAATATATATATTGATATATATTTTATAAATCACAATCAAATTATACTAGTATCAAATATTCACTTGATAGTTACTAATTTTATTCAAGTAAAATCCTAACAGTTGTTAATATTTGGGTTTTCTTCATTTATTAATGTAAAATATAAACTACTTCATTCTCTTATTTTCCTTAAATCCAATATTTTTGAAGTTGTTTTTCAAATTATAAAACATATGTTAAACCACTTAGATAATCTGAAACGTATTGATAAAAGTACATATAGTAGAGAAGGTTGAGGAAAGAATTTCAAAAATTTATCCTGGGTTTAAACTAAAGTACTTGTTGACAGAGGAATAAACCAATAGGAAGACTGTATATTCTGCAGAGTAACTTGATCTTTTTAAGTATTTCCAGCCTTAAAAGGGAGACAAATGTATTAATAGAGATATATTACATTGATTCATTATAATGAAAGTAAATACCTGTGACAACACAATTTTTGTGTATAAAAAGATGTTTTATCGATATTATGATTATTAATAGTTGTAATATAAATTTAAGAATGTACAATATTTAATATTTCTAATAGGTTGATTTTATAGCTTTAAAGGTTTTAAAAAGAAATCTGAAATGTTTCTCACCAAATACTTTAATGGTGTGAAACTCAGGCCTCAAGAGTTTAAATGAATGCCGCAAGGCTAACATCTTTCTTCTATTTTTAATTTTAAATGCCTGAAGAACAAAGTCCAAGGCACTAACATGGGTGGCCCCATTCTACTTTTTTTTTTTAAAGATTTTTTCTTTTTCTTTTCCCACCCTTCCTCCTCACTCTAATCTCATACCACAACAGTACACTGTTCACCAAACACACTTTGGACTACTCTGTATCTGGCTCTGTTTGTGCTTTGCTCAAGATTTCACTCTATGACTACCCTTCATCCATCCACCCACCCAATAAATACCTCCACCTCTAGGAAGCCTTCCTGAATTCTGTCACATTCTCCAGAATTCATCACACTCTTTGTGCATCCTCACACTTACCACTGAAACACTGAGATATGTTATGGCAATATTATTTCATAGGAGTCTCACTCCCCAGTTAGATGGAACAAGAATAGGATACTAGTAAATCTTGTCTTTGCAATCCCTAGAGTTTAGTCCAGTCTTGAGTCACAGTAAACAGTTTATAAAAATCTGTTGAAGGAATGAATTAATTGGCTGATGGATGGATAGTACATAAATAAAAGAATGTGTGGGCTAATGAATAAATAAGCAGACAAACCAAAAAAGGAGTGAATAAATAGGCCAAGTTTCTCAACCTCAGCACCACTGACATTTGGGCAGGAGAGTTCTTTGATGTGCAGATCGTCCTATGCATTAGCAGGATCTCTGAGGGCTACCCACTAGATGCCAATAACGATTGCCCCCACCACACTACCGGTTGTGACCATCAACAAAGTCTTTAGACACTGCCGAATGGCCCCCGGGCCAAAATCATCCTTGAGAACAGCTGGATATGGCAATTTAGGTGGAGCTTAGAGATCAGAACTCGGATCTCTGTTTTAGTCTAGCACTTTTTACATTATGACTTAGCCCTGCTGAGACCCAAGTTAAATTCCCAGCCTTCTCAGAAAATATCCTTAAAACCTGATATCAACAACAGAGTTAACTATGGGGTAAAGTATTTTTTATTTTTATTTATTTATTTTTTAAAATATATCTTATTGATTTTGTACAGAGAGGAAGGGAGAGAGATAGAGAGTTAGAAACATCGATGAGAGAGAGTCATCGATCAGTTGCCTCTTACACACTCCCTATTGGGGATATGCCCGCAACCAAGGTACATGCCCTTGACCGGAATCGAACCCGGGTCCCTTCAGTCCCCAAGCTGACACTCTATCCATTGAGCTAAACCGGTCCCAGCGGTAAAGTATTTTTTAAAAGCAACACTAGAAATAAAGACAGGCCTCCCTTAAATCAACTGATCTGGCTTACATTATTGTTGTTTTTTAAATAGAATTTATCTGTCGTCAGTGTTATTAAATGGTATTTATTTGGCCCTGCCTAAAAATAGATCCTTGAAGGCATATGGTTTTTAAGAAATTTTTAAACACCACTTCATAGCACCATCTTGTGGATTTTAGAGGAATTTATTGATTTCAGTTTAAAATGTCTATTTTTCCAGAGAAGGAGGAAATGAGAATATAGAAACCATAAAAATTTAGGATATCCTTTACTTATTTAAATGTTCTATGAATCACTTCTCGGCCTTTTGGCCAAGATCAAGTGTAGTAAATGTTCTATGATTCTCTGAATTGGGCTTTAGTGAAGTTTGACTTTTTTTGACTTTGACTTTGACTTTGAAATATGTGGTCTAGATTTCTATTTGGCTTCAACTACAGCCGTGCCTTTTGCCTTTGGAAAATCAAATAGCCACACACCTACATTATCATTGTGATGTCTGCATCACGTACAGTCAGCAAAGCAGGAACACAATGCCAACAAGAAAGGCCAATGAGCTAATATTTGAATATTTAATTTGAACACACAGATATAACTTGGAATTAAAATTTCCTTATGTACTGTAAGTATTGGAAGAGCAAAGTGTTGCAAAATTAGGGAAGCTTGTGGAAGTTGATAATCTTATACAAAAAACAAGAATCTTTAAGTCGTTAAATTGAGAAATAGGGGGATTAACCACAGTCTGAGTATTTATTCCTAAACCATGATATCAAACTATAAAATGCTTAATTACTGGGATATTTAATTGTAAAAGTGGAAAATAAAGTATACATTTCATATTTCTTACATCCAAGAAGTTTATCCTATAACTAGAAGCCCAATGCATGAAGATTCGTGCCAGAACGGGCCTTCCTTTCCTGGGCTGGTCCAGAGCCGCCTTTCTACCCCCCTTCACTGCTCAGAGGCCCAGAGCTGCCGGTGATGACAGGGGCCACTTGGCAGGTGTATATGCAAATTAACCACCATCCTTGTTGGTTACTCACTCCTGATTGGCTGTGGGCATCACGAAGGTACAGTCAATTAGCATGTTTGTCTATTATTAGGTAAGACAATATCTAGTTTCAGCCTCTAAAAGTTGTTGATATACTATAACACTGTTTGGCATTCAGCAGAAAGGTGTATTTATATACCTCTAAATCTAAATGGAGAGTACAATGGAAAGAAGATGAGGTAAACATAATAGATTTGAAGTTTCTCTTTTTCAACCCTATGAGTTATGTTTGTTACTTGAAAGATATTCAGCACAAACTACCAGAAGCATCAAATGCTAAGGGCAGTACAGGAGCCTACACAGGATTATAGATACGGAGAAAGACTTTCTAAGAGAGGCAATTAAAGTCTAATTTTATAGACAAAGTGTTTAATTGGCTATAACATATTTTTTTTGTTTTTACCATCCCAATACACAATCACCATTTCTTCTTCATGAGATAAACAGCATAGCCATATACTAAAAGATTTTGTTCCTTGATCATCTCTTCAGTTCTTCTTTTCAAATAGAAACACCAAGAATTGCCAACCAGGTTCAGCCTAGGACAATTGGGATTCCAAGTGAAATTCTTTTCTAAGATAAGGTGCCATTACTTTGAAAAATGGAAGAAGACAAAGTTGTTATAAAGAGAACTTCTATGCAAGAATTACCACATAATTGTTTTGGCCCCAAAGTAACTATTTTATGTTACAAGACAGTGGACTACTTTTCCAACCTGTGTAGCTTACCATAAAGCCCCAGCAGGTGGATCAGAGCATTGAAATCTGGCAGCCATGACAACAATAATTGTAAAGACAATTAACTCTCTTTAATCCACATTATCTCTGTAAGAAGGCAATCAATACCGTGAATAACTCATTTTTGGCTCTGAGTGGATAGAAGAACATCCTGATAGCTCCGTATAGCATCATGGGAAGAATATTAGGCTAAAGATCAAGAAGCCACACTTTCATTCCGGCCTGTCACCAAGTGGGAAACACTGTATCTCAGCCCCCATGTCTGTAACATCAGGGAGCTGGACAATGTCTTCCATAATGTCCTTTCCAGCTCCATTGGTTAAGTTTCTATGAATGTCCTTTCAGGTGGACCACAGCCCAACCATCACATTCTCTTCTCATAGTTCAAGGGATGATTTGACGAGTGTTGCCTTGCCCAGTTTAGGAATCTAACAAGATCATCTCAAACTTCTCCTCCTAGTGACCAAAGATTGAAGTACTATCTGTTAAGTTTTTCAACTTTTCTTAATACCATCTTCTTTCCATATATATCACACCTCTGCAGAAAGGTGTGGTTTTTTTTTTTGTTGTTTTTTTTTTTTTTTTTTTTTTTTTTTTTTTTTTTGTGTGTGTGTGTGTGTGTGTGTGTGTGTGTGTGTGTGTGTTTTAACATGTAAATGTTTCAGAGGACAGCTTTTAATTCTAATATTCAAAAATCTAGATTGTAAGTCTCTGAACCTTTCATGCTTTACAGAGCACAGTCATATGTCCTTTAAGGAACCTTTTTCTGAAGAGGGCCTGTGGGACATTTACTCCCTGGAGTGCTAAGTTTTCCACAATCAAAATACGTTTGGGTATCATATTGTCTTCTTGGGTATTCACAAAGGCCATTATAACGTTAATGATTACAAAATCCATTTTTATCTTATTTTCTGATTGTTTTGTTTTAAGTGAGTAGATTTTGGTTTGGTTGATCTGGCAGGATTTTGGGGGGTGGGGATGGAGTGGGGTGGGGTGATATCACTTCGGGAAATAGCTTTATCTTTCTAAGTCTATCATTTTAACAGACCAGCACAGAAGCCATTCTGGGAAGGTGTGATGCTTCCCTGGAGCTTTTCCAGCTCTTTTGTTTTTACTGTATTTAATTTCTTCCGAGAAACAAGAACCTCTGACCTTTCTCTTTAACATGAGGATGGCCTCTGGACGGATAAGTGAACTACCTTAGTTGGGTCTTTTCAGTGATTTAGGTATCTCCTTTTTTCATTACTGTACTTATCATTTCAGTATGAGATAGGTTTAACTCAAAGGTAAACTAAAAACATTTATGACTACTTTAGTGGGTTCCTTTGTGAGACCTTGTTCAAACATGGAACTGAAAGTCCATGTTCAATATTCACTGGAATCAGAGCACCTGAGTATGAGAATTTATACACACACACCATTATCTATTCATAAGAACTGAGGAGATCAGTATAAGAACCTGGAACCTGCAGCAATAAGAAATAAGAGGGGATAACATTTCTACTTAATAAGAACTTCTTATCCCACACCAACCTCTCATCTACTGAAATAATACACTAACTTGGTAAAACCAAAATCATGATGTGTCTTTTGTTGGACACTAGGCAATCATGTGGCAAAGGTGATGAGTTAGTTCATCTCAAAGTTAAACATGGTTTTAAATTTAAGCTGTAGACATACCATGAAAAATCGTGTTTAGGATAACCAATATAATTTAATTATTGGCATTAAACAAAGATATATTATCAAATAGTATGCTAAAATAATCATTCAAAATATTTTTGTTAAATACATTTCGTTAATTTCTATATTTTAATGTCATAATATGGACTCACATATCATAGTATTTTATGACATTTTTCTGGTGACAACTTTGTGTCTATTTTCTATTTAAAGATATTCATATTGTATTTTTCTCTTAAAGTTATCCTATACACATTCATGTTATTTTATCTTATTTACAAATTAAGCACATTTAAACTATGAATATACTTTTAAATTTTAAATGAGAAATACTTTTTTAAAAAGCAACAGGAATTAGACATCGAATGTCCAAAATATTGAAAACATATCCCCTTTAAAAATATCTACCATCTCTTTCCTCCCTCTCCTTCTAATTGAAACTAGTTTCTTTTGAACATGTCTTTTGCCAATGTTCCTGCAAACTATTTTTGTTTGAAAATTTCAGGGTGGAGTAGTTTGTTAGATGAAGGAAACTGTATTTGCAATTATAGCTTATAAAGTAAAGAAAACCATAAACTCTATTTAGCATCAATTTGACTCAAGGTCAAAATTAGATTTTTCTCTTCCTATAATATTTGAATTATAAACTTCTCTTCTTGTAAGTAGATTTGAGGGGTTGGCTGGAAACTGCAATATAATGTATGAACACCAGATTTAAGGTACAATTTGAAGCGACCAGCTCACTTAATTTTGACCTTGTTCTATTACAGTAATGATTTTCCAGTCTTGGTACTGATGCCATTATATACTTTCTTAATTCAGTGGCAAGTCTGGTTTTAAACATTTCAGATTAACACTATTAAAGATTGGAGTCATTTATTTTCATGCCAGCTTGTGAGGTGACAGATGGAAATAGTTGCAGAAAAAGATATTGAGGTCTACTGTATATAATTATACAATGTTAGGTGCTATGAGAAGATGGAAAAGGTACTGTAGAGAGACAATTCCTGGCCTGTAGAGCCTTGTAATATATGGATTTTTAAACTTAAGCTTCCATGCCAAACATTCACAAATCAATGTTAGAGAAAATATCCTCGGAGTAGGAAAGCATGACGATTGGGCTGGAACAATCACCTCTCATCAACTTTTATCTGAATGCATTACATCACTTACGATGGTTCCTAAAGATAAATTGAAACATCCAACTTGTTGTGCTTTAATTACTTTATATTAGACTGTTTATGAAATCACAAATCACTGAGCTGTAAAAACCTGAAAAAAATCCTCTGAAGAGGCAGGGATTGAGTACATGTAATTGTTAAGGAATTAGACTTTAAAAGAAATGGAAAATCATTAAAGTTTTGCTATGGTCAAATGTTTGTGTCTCCCCAGAATTCATATGTTGAAAACTTAATGCCCAAGGTGATTAGGAGGCAGTGATAAAAGAGACCCCAAAGTCCCTTTTATCACTTCCCTGTAACCGAGAAGAGGGCCTTCACCAGAGCCCATCCACACTGGCATTCTGATTTTGGACTTGCAGCCTCCAGGACTATAAAAATAACTTCCTGTTGTTCATAAGTTACCCAGTCTATGGCTTTTTTTTTTTCAGCAGCTGAATGGACTAAGATGGCTGTTAGGCCAGAGTCTAAGATTTGGTAAACAATCTGACTCACAACCAAGCAATGGGAATCACACAGAAGCACTGTGAAGAAATAAAGCACTATAAAGCACTGGAAAGCACTTGATGAGAGGGCTGCCCCTAGGTTTTTTCTGCAGATGACCAGGAGTTGGTGGGTTACCAAGGTTACCTTGGTTATTCGGTAACCTTTTCAATAACTTCCCCGACTTCCTTGGTCATCCTTCAAGTGAGTATGAAAATGCACTGAGGACAACTTGGGCACTGGGTAATGCTAAGTCTGGGCATGCCTCTTCAGCTTTCCTCCAAGAGTATGAAAGCCTGATATCAGTGATATGGTACTGATTTTTATCATAATTTGTTGCATCTAGAGCCA